GTGTGGTACTCATGCCTGCAAACCAGCCTGCTGGAACCCAAATCCCTAAGGGGCTTGTCCTCTGAGTCTGTCAGTGTGATAGCTCAGACAAAGTGATTCCCATCCTTTCTGTTCCTTGGCATCAAGGCCTGTGAAGAATGTTGGCTCACATCTAAAACATCATGCCTCTCCAGCCAGCCCCTGAAGCTTGAGAGGATAAAGTTGCTGCTTGTTTAGAGCCCATGCCTGCTAGTCTGCCCAGGAAAGTTCACTAGTATCAACTGCTAAAACCAAGTTTTATTTTTAGTAGATATCTAATTGAAACCAACATAGCAAGGGAAACATTTTTTATAATTCCCGTGAGAGACAAACATCCAATTTGATCATTAAAAATAGGATAATAATGCATGTCACCAGTTCCAAAGTTAAACTTTGTTTAGAAGCTGCTAGTCTGAGATACTGGTGGTAAAACAACCAATTTGCTAAAACCATATTTTAAAATTCCATCTCTGCTCTGTCTGCAGTTCATGCAAGTTACTCCTTTGGCAGGATTAGATGAATTTTAATAGCAACCTCTTATTGAAAGGCTGAGAAGCTGTGGAAGTGGAATATTTGGTGACTGGATCCCTCTCCACATTAAGCCTATGATTTTCTGTCATCAAGTGCCTGTAATACAGGAAAAAGTGCTCTTGTGGGTTTATCTGTATTTGTCATTAAACTTTGCTAAGCCAGCAAGCCTGTAAAGTGGGCTTGCTGTGGGCTCTTGCCCCTGGCAGATGAGCCCCCCAGGTCTGGCTCCACACAGGTTGCTTTGCTCGGTGTCAGTGTGGGTCTTCTCTGTACAGAAATCCCTGGACTTCCCTGGCAGCTGGGGAGCGTGCATCTGTAGTGAGGAAGCCAAGCATGGCCAAGCCTTCGAGTGAGTGTCTGGTGTGTCTTGATGGGTCCCTAAGTGATTATTTAGCCTAGTGTCATAATACCTGGCTTTATGTTTCCAAGAGAGTTTTAAATGATCCAAGCGTTCTATAGCTTAGCTTTCTCCGTTAAGGAATCTCATTTGTGACAGAAGGAATGTCTCAGATAGTTTATTAACTTGGGACAAGAGATATACAGACAAGCTTAGTGGAGTGGAGTTAACTAAGCCTATGCCAGAACGTGGATGTCTGTTACAAGATCGGGCCACATGAAATTCCTGGGGGGCACCAGTGTGCTTGTGGTCAGACCTTGATTTCCTATAAGTTGCTAAGGTGTCCTGCATGAGGGGTGGCTAGACAGGAGGATTCAGAGCACAGCGTGAGGAGTTTAGGTCTTCAGTGTAGCATGTGCAGCACTGAACAGTAGACAAAGCAGCACCTTCTTTGACCCGGCTGTCCTGAATTGCTTGTCTTTCTTCTTCTCAGAGAGCAGAGCTGACATCTGATAAGGACATGTACCTTGACAACAGCTCCATTGAGGAAGCCTCGGGAGTCTATCCTATTGATGATGATGACTACTCTTCTGCCTCTGGCTCAGGTAAATCTGCCTGCTGGGTACTGTTCTCTGTGCCTGGGCAAGCACACAATTTGCTGTGCCTTCTTCCACGACATGCATGTGTCAAAGTCACCAGCATAGTTTTGGGGTGCAAGTTCTAGTTCTTTGTAATGTAAGCTATGAGGTCTTGGGAATGTAAGTCTCAGTTCTCCTCATTTACAGAATAAGAATAAATATTTATTATACATAATATTTTATGTGCATTATATATTTAGATATCTGTATTTTTATATATTTAAGTAAATAGTTCTATGTATTTACCACATAAAGCTTTTTGTAGTGATTAAGGGAGTTGAGATATTAGCCTTGAATTTGATTGTTAAGATTTTCAGAGTATGGTGATAGAAACCACCCTTTGAGATATCCTGCAAATATCAGTTTCATAAAATGCCTGTTCTATATTAAGATTATACTCAAAACTGAAACTTCCAGGCTTTTGCTTATGTCGCTCATAAGTAAGGGGAACAGTGTAGCAGCTGTGTCACCTAAAGGTAGCTTTATATCTTTGACTTCTTTGGTGTATTAGTTATCTGTTGCCTCTGCAATGCTGCCTAACAAACCATTCCAACCCTCAATAGCTTGCAGCAATAGGCATTTATTTAATTCATTGTTCTGCAGGTTTGCCATTTAAGGCTGGCTGCACACGTGTGTGCAGCTGAAGCTTGGCTGATTTTGGCTTAGCTCTGTCATGTGTCTGGGGAAACTGAGCAGACACACTTGGCCTTAGTCCACATGGCCCTTCATTCTCCAGGTGGCCAGCCATTTGTTCACAGAGTGAAGCAGAAATCTAATCCTAGACTTAGAGCTCTGGGGTACAGGGTGGTGTGTGTGTGTGTGTGTGTGTGTGTGTGTGTGTGTGTGTGTGTGTGTGTTGCAGTGCTAAGAATCAAAGCTAGTATATTAGCTTTAGCATTCCTGTGACGAGGTCCCTGACAGAAGTGTCACAAGAGAGGAAAGGATCTATTGTGGATTGTGGTTTCAGAGGATTTTTTTTGGCTCCATATGCTTACATGGAACATGGTAGTTGGGATATGTAATGGAGGAAGCCTTTCACTTCATGGCTGACATGAAGCAGATAATGTGGAAGGCAATGCTATGAATAACTTTCCGAGGCAAGCCCTGTTACCAATATCCCCGGCCTGCTAAAGTTTCTACTGCCTTGCAAAATAGCACCAGTAGGTAGGGACCAGCTGTCCAATACAAGAGTCTTTGGGGGCACATTTCATATTCAAACCACAATGCCCAAGGTCCCATGCGTGCATACCCCCGAGCAATGTTCCCAGCCCCAAGTT